CAAATTTCTATGAATGCAAAAAACTAATTTTTTTGTTTCAGTCCTAAATACGAATATATGGAATAAATATTGATATATTTTGGTATATGAATGAAAGTACATATTTAAATTAGTGTAAGTAGATTGTTTTTAAAAGCAGTATTTTCAGTTGTTCCAAGGGAAAAGTGCTACTTTTTGCCTTAACTTTATTATTTTACGGAATCACAATTGGAGGAATTTTTGACAGTTTTCAAATTTTTGTTTTAACGTTATGTAAAAAAAATGAGCAACTTAAATATAAAGGGGACAACCGCATTTTGTAGAATAAAATAAATTGCACTCAGTAGTTTAGCGAAATTAATGCCAAAGAATGTTGTTTTCATTTTTCATACAAGTAAGCATAAATTATTATGGTTAATATATTTCAAGAAAATGTAATTTTTCTTAGCATATACAAGTTAATTTTTCGGAATTTACTCTGAATTTTACATGAGACTTTTCCAATTTTATAGTTTCGTTAAAAAACTGAATTAACAAATGTTCATTTAATTTGAACTCCTATAATTTATGGTTTCTTGGATGTTATCATAAACGGAAATTTGGCTCGTGGTAAAAATGCAGTTGGTATACTGATATGTCAAAATGTTATGTATATAGGTGGCTTACTATATTAGCTTGTATAATTTTTATATAAAATTTCAATAAAATTCTTTTAGAATAATAAAAATATAAAATTGGCCGGGGTAGTTAAAGTCTAGTTTATGATGTTTTTTAATAAACTCTTCCAAAAATAAATCATAATTTATTGCATCTTCAAAATGAATTTATAGCTATGAAATTTGATTAAAATTACTGCAATTAAAATTGAGAAATACGACAACCAGACAGACAGAGAGAGACTAACGGAAAGAAAATTTGACACGTGAAATTTGGGGCTATGACAATACCTCTTCTGTATTGTATTCAATCCGGTTGGTGAAAACAAATTATGAAATAGTTAATGTTAATCCTTGTACTCGGAATTCTTAAATTGTCAAAGTCAAGTTATTAAATTCTAAAAGTCATTAACAAATTCTTAAAGAAAAGTTTCGTTTAAAAACCAAAAATTTTTTGAATTAAATTTTTGTATTCTCTGTCTTCAAAATACAAAAACATAGTATTGAATCACAATTCAGCTTATAAATTGTAATAAAAATTTTGAAAATAATCTGATCCTATAACTAATACTATAATTACGTCAGCTAATAACTTGAATGACTTGAAGACCTATAGAAGACACATGATAAGCAAGTACAGTGAGATTCTGCAAAGGACAAGACTGGCTTTACATAATTATATGAAACCCCTAGGTAAATGATAATTCAACGAAATAACTTAGATTTAGATTTTGATATTAGTTATAGTGGTAATTGTGGCTTAAATTGTAGTAGTGTTTTTGAATTTTCCTCTAGCACTAATTTGGTTTTCATAATACATCAATACATAAGAAGCCTAAGACAAAACTTTGATTTGTTGCTAGTTCATTTAGAAACATTTATTAACAAGCCGGACTTTATTTTTGTCTCTGAAATTTGGGTTTTTGAGAACGAATTAGTGGAGTACAATACTCCTAATTATACATTTTTTGCTAATACTAAAGAGTCGTATGCTGCTTGTGGTGTGGGTTTATTTATAAAAAATTGTTATTTGAATGCAGATGTTACATATTATACTTTTGAATCTACTGATATTTTGAAAATTGATTGTAAAATTAAATTCGTTTTCTTTTATTTGTGTGTATAGATTACATAGTTGTTCAGTTAATATATTTCTTAATGAGTTCAAAAATTTGCTATATAACATAAATTCTTCTAATTTAATAATTGTTGGTGACTTTAATTTAGATTCTCTATCTAATTCTGAAAATGTTGACTATTATCTTTCAATTCTAGCCAAAAATGGTCTATTTCCTTTTATTAATGAACCGACTAGGATAAGTTCTGGGTCTTGCCTAGATCATATTCATGGTCGTTTCGATACTATTCCTTTGCAGTCGTGTGAAAAGGGAGTTTTTAATTTTGAAATTACAGATCATTGTATGACTGGACTTCTTGTTAAATCGTTAATAGTTGAAAAAAAAGAAAATACTCCTGATACTGCTACAATTTCAAAAATAGATTATAATAGACTGAACAATATGCTAATTTTTGAATTTTGGGATGATGTCTATAATGAACAAAATGCTAGTGCAGCATATAATAAATTCATTGGAATTTTAAGCAGTTATATTTCCCAATGTACTTTTAGTTGTAGTCCTCGTGCGAAAAATTAAAAGTTAAAACCGTGGATGAATGATATTTTGTTGAGAAAAGTAAAATTAAAGAACAAATTATGTATCAAATTATATAAACATCCATCTAATTCTAGGTTAAAAAGTCGTTACAAAAAGCTGTGCAAATTAATAAAAACTGAAATTTCTGAATGCCGTAAAAGATTTTATCGTAATGAATTCGTTAAATGTAATGGTGATTTAAAGAGCGAGTGGAGACTAGTTAATAACTTGCTCAATAAGAACTCGAAAAATAGTAAGAAAATAGAAATTATACAAAATGGATAGTCTATAACAGATGAGTTTCTAATTGCAAATGAGTTCAGTAATCATTTTTCTTCGGTTGCTTTAAATTTGTCTTCTGATTTAGGTTCTGACTTTGAATATGATATCACGGAGGTAAATAGTGTTCGTAACAGCTTCTTTTTTGATAGTTTCTCGATACCTGAACTTCTCCAAATTATTCGGTCTTTAGAAAACTCAAATTCTACTGGGTTTGATAATATCTCCAATAAATTATTGAAGGAAATTGCATTTAATATTGTCGATGTTCTGGTGTATATTTTCAACTTTTGTGTGCTTTCAGGATTATTTCCCGACCAGCTAAAGTCTGCGGTTGTTATTCCACTGTTCAAAAAAGGGGTGGAGTCAGACGTAAACAACTATAGACCTATTTCCTTGCTTCCTACGATTTCGAAAATTTTCGAAAAGGCAATGAAAGTTAGAACATTGAAGTATTTAAAAGAATTGGAATTTTTTAATTCGAAACAATTTGGCTTAAAAAAAGGCATATCAACCGAAGATGCTTTGTTAAATTTTTGTTCGCAA